ACAGGGTGCTCTTACTAATTAAAAACAAAGGTCTATATAAACACAGAAGCATACTCACATATTGGAAAAATGTCACTTGTTACCATAACATCAATTTCAGTGGCTACCCAATAATCAGTTATAGGGACTTAACCATAGCATAACCATTTCCCTAATATTGCACGTTCAGATTATTTCCAATTTTGCTATCACATAAAATTTTCAATTGACATTTTTCTATCTTCATTCTCTTCTCCAGCAGTTTCCTCAGAAATATTTCTATTCGTGGAATTACTGAATGAAAGGCTAGGAAGTTGCATAAAACGCTCATTGCAGTTTGACAAATTGACACAAACTTTCTGTAGAGCAATTCACGCTCCTGCCCACGGCATAGGAAAATGTCGCCCCTATCCTCATCAGCACTACCTATTATCTTTAAAAACCTGTACCTAATTTGAAAAGATGTGATTATTTGTGAAGTTTGACATTTTTTCTCATGTGATAATTAGCCATTTTATATCATCTGTGAATTTTCTGAGTTCTTTGCCCATTTTCTCTCGTGATATTCATAATTTTCTTTAATTATTAATGCTTACATAATACAAATTTGCTGGGGCATTTTAATTAAGAATTTTACAGTTACTGTTGGGGTGCCTGGGAGGCTCAGGTCATGATCTCAGGGTGCTGGGTCAAGCCCCAACTCCGGCTTCCCACTTAGCAGGGAGTCTGCTTGTCCCTCTCGCTCTGCCCTTCCTTCTTCTCATGTACTAGCTCTCTCTCTCTCAAATAAATAAATAACTCTTCTTAAAAAATCCTTTTAGCTGTACTGATATCTCTTTATAAGTCCTAATTTGATATAGGCACATTTCCCTTTTGTTGGTTTATCAGGTGTCAAATTATTTCATTAATTAAAAAAAATCAGCTCATAGATTTATTAACTCAATTGTTTTATTATCTTCAAACTAAGTTTATCTTTATTATTTTCTTGCTCTTGGGTTCCATATACTTACTTTGTTTTCCCTAACTCTTTGAATTGAACTTTTTAAATAAAGGAAAATAAACCTATAAAATTTCCTGAGTACAGATTGGACTTTACCCTATACATTTAATAGATAAGGTTTTCACTTTCACTATGTTGTAAATCATCTAATTTGCAGGGTTTTTTGATTAAATAATTATGAGCTTTTAATAAAGGTCTGGGGTTTTTCTATAATGTATGTTACTAATGCAACTTCAGTGCATTGTGGTATATGAACTTGGTCTACACAAGGGAAAAAATACTGACGGATTTTGGTGACCTAGTTTATGACCAATTTTAATGGCTCTAATTCTCATAGTCTTAACAGCTTAGTTGAACAGATTTTAGCATATGACGTTTTATTTGTGGGAGGCAGATTCTCAAGTAAAAGAGTACTCTCTTCCCTGAAATTCATCCTCTCTTCTCCAGGTCCATTGATGTCATTCTCCCACTCCTTAGCATCTCTTATCTGGATCACTCAATAAACTCAAAATTGATGTTGCAGCCTTGCATCTCTGCTACTCCCTAAGTCCAGGAAAATATCCATCTCCTACTTAAAAGGTTTTCATGTTTCCCTATTGCATATGAAATTTAGGTCAAACATTTTCTCCATGATATTCATAGCTTTCACAATCTCTCCCCAGTTGTCTTTCTAGGCTCCTCCCAGTATCCTTCAACTCACCTATGCTCCCACAGCCAGTGCCCATCTCCATGCTCTCACTGCAAGGAGCTACAGGCTGTTGCCTGAATTCATGACCCTCTTACTTTCACTTATTTTTATTATTATTTTTTTACTTATTTGACAGAGAGAGAGAGAGAGAGAGAGAGCGCAAGTAGGCAGAGAGGCAGGCAGAGGGGGTGGGGGAAGCAAGCTCCCTGCTGAGCAGAGCCCGATGCGGGGCTTGATCCCAAGACCCTGAGATCATGACCTGAGCAGAAGGCAGAGACGTAACCCACTGAGCCACCCAGGCGCCCCTACCTTCATTTATTGATGTAATCTTTACAGTTGTCAATATTGCTCATTCTATACAATTGCTCTCTACATCCCAAATTTATACCAGTGTCTAGAGTAGATCTCCTAATATTCCTAAAACTTCACTCCTCTATCAAAGCAGATTTCCAGAGAGCTCCATGCCTGGACTAACTTCAAGACAACTCTTGTACCTGGTAGAAATGCCCTCACAGTCTAGTATTTAGAATGTGAGCTCTAGGAGGAGACGGCTTCAGCAGGAGCCATTGTGAGAGACACTCATAAGAAGAAAACTTAAACAGGGGCACCTGGGTGGCTCAGTCGTTAAGCTTCTGCCTTTAACTCAGGTCATGATCCCGGACTCCTGGGATTGAGCCCTGCATTGGGCTCCCTGCTCCAAGGGAAGCCTGCTTCTCCCCTCTCCCACTCCCCTTGCTTGTGTTCCTTCTCTCTTTCTCTCTGTCAAATAAATAAATAAATAAAATCTTAAAAAATAAACTAATTGAAGTCACCTTTAAAGTTCCTTTTACAAAACTTACATGGTAATTCTCCCTTGGAGAACATTGCATAGAAAACCACGGTTATTGACAGCCTGATGTGCTTTCAATTAAATAATGAAAGATATGGAATCCGCAACGTCTCTCTTATTTTGGCTACCTAAAAGCTCAGGATTTTATTGCTTCCTGGTCTAGCTTTTATGATGTGTCAATCAGCTTTGGGACTTAAAACTGTTCAAACTTCAGTTTCTTGGTCTACAAAATGGAGGTAACTAAAAAGAAATAAATAGACAAGACAACCAGATAAATAAATAAATAAAATGAAGGTATCTAATACCTACTTTGCAGAGTGGTGTGCACAAAGTCAAGCATGGTATATGGTGCATTCATTCAACAAATATGTACCGACTGACTTCTAAGAGACTGAATTCACAAATGGACGAAGGCCAGATCATATATAAAAATAGAACCCTAACCCACGTCCTGTCCAGGAAAGCAACCCCTTTACCTTCAATAAACAAGCCGGGAAGCCAGCCTGCTACTTCCTACAGAATACTATCTCTACTAACAATCCAAAAAGCTAAACAATAACATCTATGGCAGTTGGCCCCAAATGGCTAGGAATGGATTATGGAGAGCTTCTGTAAATTTATCCCCACTTCCACTTAATATCAACCAGAGAAAACCAAATATATACCACTAACCAGTCACATGCAATGCCCCACTTCTAATTAGCCTGCCTCCAGCTTCCCCATGCCAACAGAGTCCAGTCAGAGCAACCCTAAAGCCTTCCCTTTTGTCTACTGTAGAGCTTTTCCATTCCTCTGCCTGCCTTTGAGTCTCTGCCAAAACATAAGCAGTGGTGGCTGACTCTTTGCTATAGCAAGTTCAAAATACATGGCCTCTGTTTATTTCTATATTTCCATGTATAAGACACTGCGCTTAGTGCTAGGAATATAATGGTGAACATGGTCCCTGCCCTTCTGGAGTTCACTTTCTTTTTTTAAGATTTTAATGATTTATTTGACAGAGAGCTTTTTTTCAAGATTTTAATTATTTATTTGAGAGAGAGAGAGAGACAGTGTAGGTGGAGAAGAGAGGGAGAAGCAGGCTCCCCACTGAGCAGGGAGCCCGATGCGGGACTCGATTCCAGGACCCTGACATCAAGACCTGAGCTGAAAGCAGGCACCTAACTGACTGAGCAACCCAGGCGCCCCTGGAGTTCACTTTCTAAAAGTAACACCAGTGGATCAACTGCCAGCAAATACACAGATATAGGCAAGCAGAGCCCAGTGAATGGCATGAAGGAAATCAAGAAAGTGATGTAAGGCCCAGGAACTGGGTGTCAGAGGTGGTCTGCCTCAGACAGGCAGGCAGAGAAGACTGCTCTGTGTGGAAGAAATCGGAGCTGAAATATGAAGGATGAGAGTGAGCTAGCCACATAGAGAGGGAACATGGAGCACTGTAGGCAGAAGGCTTAGAGAACAGTCAAGCCCCAAGGTGGGAAACTACATGGCAAGTTCTAGGCCAGTGAGGCTGGGGTGTAGTGGGCAGACAGAGTGGTATGAAACGAAGTAAAGAAGTAATAGTTATGGCTACTAATTATTGCTCTGCTCTAACAATAATAATTGATAGCTTGCTTGATGGTGATTTTATTATCTTTAGGCCTTCTATTATAAGCAGTTTCTAATACTTTTGAAGCGGCCATTATAAAGAAAAAAAAGGAATAAAGTCATTGATAAGAAATAATTTCAATAGCTAATATTTATCAAGAGCTTACTATGACGCTTTCTGTGCCTTAAACATCTAATTCTCGAAGTAATCCCATGCAGTAAATACTATTACTACTTCTTTTTTGCAGATGAGGACGTGAGACACAGAATTTAATAAACCCGGCAGAGCTGACACCTGGAAGTTGAAGAGCGGGATTTGAACCAGGCAATCAGAATCCAAAGCCAGTGCTTAGGCAATGCAGTCTCTTCAAGGGGCTGAGCTATTGTGAATCAGTGATTTGATGGTACACATGGGTCCTCCTAGGTTTCTAATAGTTATGCTTGCTACTAGCAGGAAATATGTTTGAAATTCATCATCTATAACCTATTATCAAGGATTCACACGTCTTCAGATTCTATATATTATGAAGGATTAGGGCTTCATGGAGCATGGGAAACATTTCCCTCATAAGAAAAACAAAGAACTCTAATTAATTAACATTTTAATCATCATTCTCAATTTGGAGAATTTATCTATTATTGAGTCTTTATCCATAATTTACTCTACAGATGTTTATGTGGGTCTAAGAATACCCACTTTGCAAATATGGGTCTGTCTCCTGGGTGCTATTAGACCCAACGAAGACTGATTTTATTATTTACATGCATTTGATCAGAGCATGTTAGCAGGCAAAACAGTCTGAGCATTGCGGGAATACCTTTTAACTGCCCATTTCCGGGATGGAGTTCTGAGCGCCTAACCTCTGACTGCCTGAAGCCCACCCAGCTGGAAGCCAGGCCATGCCCCCGCTGCACTCACTTACTTTCCCATCGTGGTTTGGGCAAGAGAGAGGCTTTCCCGCAGCCACCGCGGTGACCGTCTCCAGGATGGAGGACTCCTCAGCGTCACTGCCCGGCGTTCGCTGCAGCACGTCCATCAGGTTCGTGATGAAGAAGTTGTTCTGGAGCGCGGCCACCCCCTTCTCGGGCAGGATGGAGGTCTGGCGGCACACGGGGCAGGAGAGGGTGAGGCTGTGGGCGGGAATGTAGTTCTGCAGGCACCTGTCACGGGGGCAGAAGCAGGGGGACTGTCAGCGCAAGGGGCTCACGGGCTATAACGGGACCAGCTCCTTTCACAGGTGGCACGCATGTCCTCTGCACCTGTATGGGCTCCTTTGTAGAAACGCCCACTCGAGTCTCCTTTTCTAGGAAAATAAGACTTCCGGAACCAAGAGGTAAGGTGTACTCACATGGGCACTGTCAGCTGATGGGATTAATGATGAAGCTCAAGGAGAAGGATAATATCATTGACTCTGGTGGTGTTCCATGGAGCCTCGCCATGCTCAAGCAGCACTGGCCTCTCCAGGGAGTTTGGAAGAAGTGCAGAATCTCAGGTGCTACTCCGGGCCTGCTTGAATCAGCTCCCCGGGGGACTTTATGCACAATGAAAGGTTGGAAAGCACTGTTCAAGAATATCCAGTGTCGTGTTCACAGACTTGTGGACTTTTACAATGGGGAGAAACGGGTCAAAGTTTTCCATTGGTGTTGAAATGTTTTTTTTACGTACAAATGCATAAGCAGATCTCAGATGTTAAAAACATATCCCGAGGGGTGCCTGGGTGGCTCGGTTGGTTAAGTGACTGCCTTCTGCTCAGGTCATGATCTTGGAGTCCCAGGATCGCGTCCTGCATCAGGCTCCCTGCTCAGCGGGGAGTCTGCTTCTCCTTCTGACCTCTCCCCTTTCATGCTCTTCCTCACTCTCTCAAATAAATAAATAAATAAATAATCTTAAAAAAAAAAAAAAAGAAAGAAAGAAAGAAAAGAAAAGAAAACCATATCCCAGGGAAAATATTGTGTTTGAAGCAGGGATAGGACACCCAGAGACACATCAACATGATCTTTTCTCGCCTCTACTCAACAGGCAATTGATTAACTCAATCATATAATCAGCAAAATGCATTGTTAATAATGACTTACATATGTGTTGCTCGCTAGATTCAAAGTACTTGTAATAACCCCATGAAGTAGGTACTTTAGACACATGAAGGAACATAGGCAGAGGGAAGAAAAGTCACTCTCAGAACTCCGGTGGAAAAGGGCACTGGGCAAACCCAGTGCAAATCCAGGCAACTGGGCGTTAGAACCTACGGTCTCCATAACTACTGTGCACAGTGTTTGTTTCCCTGTTGCTCCACCAAGTGGAATTTGAAAACCTCTGATCTAGTCTCATTCCTCTTACTATGTACATAAGGAAACTGACATCAAGGAGGTTAATTGACTTTCCTGTGTCCCAGAAGTAGCTATCTCTGAATCAATACCAGAAACAAAACAGCTTTTGCTAAGGTCACTGAGAGCATCTGCATCCAGACAACAGACATTTTTTTGCTCCTTTCTCAGTAGCACTCATCAAACTTGACCACTGCCTCCGAGCTGTTCTCTTTTGAAACTTTATCTTCCCTTGTTTGTGATAATTCACGTACTTGGTTCTCTGATGTGCTCTGTCTTTTCTGCTGAGCCACACTGTGTTTGTCTCCTGGGGACATCATATCCACATGCATGGCCATACGTACAACACTCCCATATTTCTATTTCTTCCACAGATGTCTCCTCTGAGCCCCTGATCTCTACACCAATAGCTTTCTTGGCATTTCCCCTTAGATGTCTCACAGGTCCTAAAACTTTGTATGTCCAAACCCAAAGCTATGTTCTACCCCCAAACCAGGTCCTCTTCTCTCTCAATGAGCAGTACCTCCATCCATTCATCTAGGCAAAGCAGGTACTGGGAGCCGTGCTGAAAACAGTCATTTCCTTAGTGTCCATTTCCACATCCAACCCACCACTGAAGGCTGGAAATGCCTAAATACCTTCCAATGTTTCCAGTTCTTGTTATCTGATTTACACCATCCTTTCCTGGGTTTTTGGAATAGCTCTGTATACTATCACCCACCCTCAAATCCTCTAACCTTTCTCCATATCGCAACCAGAGTGACCTTCTCAAAACTCATTCCACGTGAAAATCTCCACCACCGGCCATCAGATGGAGGAACCAAAGTGGATGGGGCTAGACCCAACCAAGGGGGCTGGGAGCAGACCCAGGACAGCCCGGAAGTGTTGCTTCTTTTTTCTCTTTTTTTTTTTAAGATTTTATTTATTTATTTGTCAGAGAGAGAGAGAGAGAGCGCGAACACACACAAGCAGGCAGAGGCCGAGAGAGAAGCAGGCTCCCTGCAAAGCAGGGAGCCCGATGTGGGACTCAATCCCAGGACCCTGGGATCATGGCCTGAGACAAAGGCAGCGGCTTAACCGACTGAGCCACCCAGGCGTTCCAGAAGTGTTGCTTCTTACCTCTCAGAGCAAGTAAATGGGAGTCAAACAACTGCCTGGCTGGGCACTGAGCAAGGGCAGCTCAGCCAAGCTCAGAATGAGTGGCCCTCAGTGCTGTATAGAAAGAGGCCGACTACTGCACATCAAATAATGATCGTACCATGTAAGCCCAGGGGCAGAGGGACATTTAGCTGGTGTTCATGTTTTAGATACACATGGGGAGTGTGTTAGTGGGGAGGAGAAAAATCACTCTCCATTTAGTCATTTTGGAATATAATTACAACATACATACATCAAAGTATAAAATGAATAAAGTAAAAGGTGCTAGTGCCCTAAATAACACCACTAAAACAAACAAAACTCTACACACACACACACACACACACACACAGACATACACACACCCCAAAATAACCCTCTAAAAAGCAAACAGTCAAAAACCCACAATGACCAGTAACAAATCCACCTTCTCCCTCTATCCATGGCCTGGAAGGTATGGTTATTCTGTTGCAACTGACATCTTCCAAAGTAAATCACCTTTAACAAATGTATATGAAATTGATGGCAAATGTAATTAGCAGTGATTTAAAGCCATTGGAAATACCAATTTCCTCTTCTATAATAAGAATTAACACATTTTAATTATGTCTGTTTAATAATAATAGAAAATGTATTTAACAAGATGCTATAAACCTAATTACCATATTTGTTTTTAAGGAAAAAAAATATAACCTTATTACCTACAAACTTTATATGCTTAATTGCTTACATGCTAAATTAAATAAGAAGGTAAAGATGTATTTTGATAACTGATTAACTCAATGGAAAAAACTATTCAAGAAAGATAAAGAAATGTGTTTTCATACATAGCAAATTGCATATTCAGGTAATTTACAATTATTTCATACACACCGTCTTTTCTTCATCTGAAACATCCTATGTTCCTTAGTATACATCTTCTGAAGTATCTTTGAGAGGAAGCACTCCCTTTTAACTAACTCCTCAATACCTAGGTATCTTACTGATGTGTTCTTTGGAAGGAAATAACAGATTTTTAACTGGTCCTCACCAAAGATCCTCTGTGAGGGAACTGTGGTCAGCAAAAATTGTTTGACAAAGAACAAAGGAAAAATCTTAAATTTTTAAATTTTAAAATATTTAATGCTCCAAGTCCTGGGGAGATGAATCTATAGCTACTGGATTGCTTTCTCTCACTTATAATGATTTAAAATAGAATAAATTATTGGCAATTCATGATTATGTTTCTAGATGTCTATCATAAGCACAAAAGACTTACTGTGCCCCCAGGTAAAAGGAGAATTCTGGAAAGAACCCTTTAGTGGGTTATAAGAGATCGATCTGTGAACCTCTCTTCTCTGGGGACAAAGGAGGCTTACCTCTCGCAGAAAGTGTGCAGACAGGGGAGAACCTTGGGATTCTTGTACCGTTCCAGGCATATACTGCAGATCAGAAACTGCTTGTCAATCTGGCGCACCACAGGACTTGGGATGTTGGTGGCTTCACTGGCCATCCTAGACCACTGACATGGGAGGCCGGCTGTCTTTGACCCTGCACGCTGCTGCTGTCAGACAGGAAAGATACATAATAACTTGTAAGTACGCATCAATCACTGGTCCATTCCCTACAGGCGTTGTGTTATGAATACAGGAGAAGTCCATGCCAGTGACCTCAAAATGACCATAACCAACCCTCAATGCCTGTTGATTTTGTAAATCAGTAAAATGGTGACATGCTCACAATGCAAATGAAACAAATTAGAAGAAGTGTGTTGTCTAAAGAGGTATGTTTGCTGGTTTTCAAAGCAGACACACTTGAGGGGATAAATACTTATATAGCTCTGCCGGTTCATGTCTTCATTCATGACTATATTTGACTATATGCCTATAGTCTTATTAAAATATAGTCTTTGAGGCACCTGGGTGGCTCAGTTGATTAAGCGGCTGCCTTCGGCTCAGGTCATGGTCCCGGGCTCCTGGGATGGAGCCCAACGTCGATCTCTTTGCTCAGTGGGGAGCCTGGGTTCTCCCCTGCCTGCCACCTCCCTGCTTGTGCTTGCTCTCTCCCTCTGTGTATGTGTGTGTGTATGTGTGTGTGTCAAATAAATAAATAAGGTCATATCTTGGGATCCAGTCCCACTTGGATTCCCACATCAGGCTCCCTGCTAAGCAGGGAGCCTGCTTCTCCCTCTCCTCTGCCTGCCGTTCCCCTTGCTTGTGCTTGCTCACTCTCCCACTCTCCCAGATAAATAAATAAATAAAATGTTAAAAAAATATATGGTCTATATTAAATAGTATTAGTCTCATTAAGATAAAATGTTTTCCCGACTATTGTGCTTGGAGAGGATCAAAATGTCACTCCGGAACACGCCATCTTGACATAAGGATTATTTTGAGCTGAGAGCGACTGGAAATCAGGAGACATGGTGGGGACATGATGGGGTGGCCAGAGGGGTTGGCAGGAGGGGGAAAGGGGGTGTGGGTACTCTGCCTCTCCCATCTTCCTAAAAACAGAGCATAGACTTCCCATTTGTAAAGAAGCCCCACTCTCGCAAATGAAAAAGAGGAGACTTAATCATCCCAAGAGAGAGCACGGGAGGGGAGTCTGCGAAACAAACCTTACTAAACCACCCTTATGTACCATACATTTCCTGGTCGCTATCCCACAATGTACTGCTCCTAAACCCCCCTTCCCTTTGTCTGGCCACTTCTCCACAATTTGTCATCCTTTGTTAAAATAGTACATAAGCTCCCAGGTCGAACTGCCTCTTTGGGTTTTCACTTCCTTTCTGTGAAGCCCACATGCATGTGACATTAAAAATATTAAATTAATAAACATCCATAGAATACAATATATATACTATTTTGGAAAAATGAACTACCAATAAAATGTGTACACCTTTCTCTCCTGATAGTCTTTTTGTCAGTTTAATTCACAGGCTTCAGTGATAGAATTTAAGTGTGGTCTGGACCCTGTGTTTAAAGCTGGGCAATCCATCAATTACATTTACAGAATCAACAATTCTACACTTTTTTTTTTTTTAACAATTCTACACTTTTTAATGGAAACTCTTTTCAAACGTGAATGATAGTTCTTTCTCCCCACCAAATCACCAAAATTTTTAAAAGCATGTCAACTTTTATTAAGAAAATTCTATTTGTATGTATTTGAGTATAATTACATATGTGACACATCCATTTTCCAACTCTATGTTTCTAGATAAGCTCATTAAAGAGCATGATTAATAAACAGATAGAACCTTGTGAAATCACCTGCTATACAAGAGTGTCACGTTCAAGTAGAACTCTCTGCATTTGTTAAAAGTGTGTGACATATCTAATTGGCCCGCATTATCTGCTAGCTCTTTCATAAACTGTCTCCCCAAAGAACTAGTATAGAGAATGATATTCATTGATTGGATTAAATGTGGCTCATCTCTCAGGAGCTCAAAATGTTGACACATCATCTGCTTTTCTTTAACCACATCCCTATGACATCAGAATAGGGAAGGGAGGGCGCCTGGATGACACGGGCATTAAGCGTCTGCCTTTTGCTCAGGTCATGATCCTGGGATCCTGAGATAGAGCCCCACATCCGGCTCCCTGCTCAGAGGGAAGCCTACTCCACCCTTTCCCACTCCCCCTGCTTGTGTTCCCTCTCTCTCTCGCTGTGTCTCTGTCAAATAAGTAAATAAAAATCTTAAAAAAAAAAAATAGGAAAGGGAAGGAATGGATTTATCTGTCTTTAAGATAAGGAAACCCATGCTGAGGGTTTAAATGACTAACCCAAGGTCATCCAGTAAAATCAGTGAATCCAGAAGCTCAGATTTCAAGTCTTATGCCTTATCTGATACCTAATCTTAAACAAGTTTAACACTTTCCAGTATGGTGTGTGTGTGTGTGTGTGTATGTGAGAGAGAGAGAGAGAAAGATAAAAATTATGGGGTGCTCACTGCAGTAGCACTAAAATTGGAATGATACAGAAGATTGACTTGGCCCCTGAGCAAGGATGATGCCCAAATTTGTGAAGTATTTCACATTAAAAAAAAAAAAAAAAAAGCATATGAACTTTTCAGTTAAAATCAATTAAAAATAATTTTAATTTTAATAGCTTTTGAAAAGTTTCATATTGCCCTTTGAGTTTCATATTGCCCTTTGAAATAATCAGTCATGCTGAGTATTGAAAAAAGAGAGAAAACATCATATTGGTTTTAGTCTTTTTTTAATCTTAGAATTTTAGGGTTTGAGCAAGAAAAAAAAAAACACATTTGTTTTAATAACATGATATACATCGGCTAAATGAAATTTCCTGAGGTGACATTTCTATCCTCAACACTGAAATAAAAACATTTCATTCTAATTTTTATCCTAATTTTTTTTAAAGATTTTATTTATTTATTTGTCAGAGAGAGCGAGCACAGGCAGACAGAGTGGCAGGCAGAGGCAGAGGGAGAAGCAGGCTCCCTGCCGAGCAAGGAGCCCGATGTGGGACTCGATCCCAGGACGCTGGGATCATGACCTGAGCCGAAGGCAGCCGCTTAACCAACTGAGCCAGCCAGACGTCCCTAATTTTTATCCTAATTTTATGATCATTATTGTAGTGGGTGAGAGTAAGTCTTTGTTAGTATTGTTAATTTATATGGTAAATTAAGTTTAGTCCTGAACACTGATTTAAAATCATGACAATATTACTGATCTGTCACAAGTGACTTGTTGAAGACATCTGGATTTGCAGGATTCTCAGAATCAACACAAAAGCTTTCCAACCCCGAAAGATTCCCCAAACTGAGACTTTGCCAGGGTAATGATCATTCCCTGAGTATAACTGGATACCCACAACAGAAAGCCACTTTGACTGCTCCTAAAGGAATAATGTGCTGAGGAAAATGGAGGCACAGAATATGCCAATAAGCACCGTGGGAAGCTCTCCACCAGTCTGAATACGCCGCAAGGAATACACATAAAATGTATGACAGCCTTTAATCACAGAGTTTGGGCCCTACCAGTTTCTGGTCGTTTTGATTAGAAAAGCAATAAATAGTCGTCTAGATTCTCGGCTGTTCTCCTTTCCCCCATGTTGGTTTCTGAAGTGTCAGAGATCCTTCTTACTCACAAGGCCAGCAGAAATAAGCACGTGCTAGAGAGATCAGAACACTGAACAACTCTTCTCTTGGAGGCCCGCAAAATCAGTTTCTGGAGGGGCGCACCCCAAATATGCCACAGGTGGACTTCTGTCTCTGAAGGAACCTGAGTCCTTTCGGATGTAGGAACTAGCACACACATACTGACAAAAGGCCAATAGAAAAGAAGTGGCAGAGGAGGGGAGGCAAGCAGAGCCATTTTTAAACTACATAAACAGCCCACATAGTGTGCTGTTGATATTAACCAGCCATGAGAGCTCTCCCTGAGTGGGGAGACTGGCTGAGTTTCCTTCTCAGGGGAAAACCAACAGCAATACTGCTTACAGAGGGGTTCGGGCCTCCTCTCAATAGCAGCTTCTCAATCAGACCATTCTGTTTAAAATTGAAACTTGCCCCCCTCACCCCCGCATCCCCTGGAACTTGCTACCTCCTGTCCTTGCTCTATGTCTATCTGTAGCACTGGTCACTTTCCGCTATAGTACGTAATATGTTTATCTGGCACACTGGCTCCTCCCCACGTCTCCAGGATGTAAGATTCACGAAGGCAGGGATTTTTGTCTGACTGCTCACTGCAGGAGTCCCAGCACCTAGAACTGTTCCTGGAACGTGATAGACACTCCTTTCTTTGAAGGAACTGAACAAGTCAAGTGTCCCATGGGAACGGACTCAGTCCCAGTAGCAGAAAAGAGTGGCATGAGCTGACTTACACAACAAAGAGCATGGTTGTCACCAGTCACGTGAATGTTTTCATTTGACATCAGACATTACCTGCCTTCCAGGGTGATCATCTAATCTCTAGCAAGATAAGCCATCAGCCAGAGGGTAAATATTCAGGGACATACTTTAACACACTCACAAACGCAGAAAAGAAACTGAGAACCACTGAGGACACCTCTGCGTGGAAATACAAAGTCTAAGAAGGTTGACACATAAATTCCTCATTAGTGGGGTGTGCCAACTCAACAGCTTTTGAGGGTAACGGCAATGCAAGGAGCGTGTAACAGAATCCTGGGGCATAGAAAAACCCTATCCCAGCATTTCTTGCCTCATGTCATCTCTGGTTTTTTTCCTGGCACACGTTCTCAAATCTCCTAGAACTTGATGGAAACTACAACCAAGTGGAAAAGCAGAACTTGAGAGGAGGGAAGGAAACAAAAGGAAAATGCCTGTGTCCATAATTCTAGGGTTGAGACCACAATTCCCACCCCAGATTATACCATTTAGATCAGAAAATGATCCCAATGTTTTATTGCTGACACCAAAGTGAGGAAGAGCAGGAAGGGAGGGTGGAAGACAAATGACAATCTGAAAGCCCTCGTCTTGAGAAGGGGAGAGAGTTGGTGACAACTTGTTGGCTGGGCTAGGAAACATGGTTGGGAAACAGGTCAAGATTCCTTTAGAAAATAAAGTTTGAACATGTGATTTGCGGGTAGGAGGCAGCATATTTGATTATATACCATCGTAAAGGCACTGGATTCCATTTCTATTTAATTTTATGGCATTTGTGGGTGACTGCTTCTCTTTGTCGCCACTTAGCCGGCTTTATCTATTAGCAATGTTACATTTTTGCTATTCTTGGACCAATGACAATGGTGCAGACACACTAAAATCAGCTTCCCAAGAAGTTAAAAATCTGACGGTGGATTTGTAGAAAGAAAATCTCAAACTATTAGGATTATCTGTAACTCACAATGTTCTATCTTTTACCTGCCAGGACAGGCAGTACCTAGAACTCAAAGCACCGGTGAAAACATGACTAGAGAAACAAGTATTCTTAGATTTCAAAATTTATGAACATATTATTATTCACCTGCAACTGAATTTGCATTGTTACAGAGGACTTGACTAGAAGAAAGAAAGGAGGACAATCTTCAGTGAATTTAAAACAGGGTGACCTATTTCTAGTTAAATCAAGCATCTATCCCAAATGGGCCACTTCGTAAATTAGAAGGCCAGATGCAATATCTTTTCTGATAGTATGTGCATAACATGTGTGTCTGGGGATAAGTGGCTGTATATTCAGGAGGCCTTCCGCTTTAACTTCTGTCTCCAGGCAAGGCGGTGCCCGAGCTTTCCAAGGGTTCCTCTTGTTTCTAGGATCAGATGTATGACAGCTTCCTCAGGTTGCTGGGTCTTACCATAGGGAAGCTGAATTTTGCCAAGCCCCCAACTTGTCTTTAGGAGATTTATACCTATTTCCTCCACCTCTTAGTATAGATAACTGTTTCCCATTGCCTTCTTCATAGAAGTCCTCACCTTTTACAACATCATGAAGTCAGTTCTTAAGATCTGCTTTGGGTTTTCTAAGTTGCAGAAGGCAGGATCTGTGTGATGGAGTGTTAAGTGGTCGAGCTAATTGACATTCGTTTTACAGTGCCCTGGGACAGTCAAGACCGTGGGATCTCCTCTCTCCTTGCCACGCCTCCTCCCTTGCTCGCCTTTGGGTCTACAAGGAGGCTGCATAATCTAGGACCACAAAAGAGGCAGAGGACAACCAAGGCCCTAAACTCTGGGAGTTGGGTGAGGTTAGCAAGAAGGGGAAGAGAAATGTATTCCACATCAGAACCTCACAAGGCATAGTCCCACACAACAGCAAACCCCCTTTTCCCCCTGGTGGATAGGAAGTACATTATTTAATTCTATTGCTGATTAGAATAAATGTTTACCTTAATACGTTTTCAAGAAGAAGAATAAAAAGCATTTAATGGAGAAATGGAGGCGACTGCAAACATGAAGGCAGGCGAGGGTAAAGTAAAAGAGAGTAGAAAGACTAGCACTCAGATAGCAGTAATAAAGCTATCCTCCACGGTGCACTTTGAATAATTACACTGGGCTCATTTTTACCTCAGTCTCTGGTTTAATCTAAACCCCCACATTCGAGGAAGAAACCTGATCTGATCATTTCAGATAATCCTCACAATAATAATATTCAGAGAACTCCAATAGCCAACCCTAATATAGAACAAATTCTGTTCTGACACTAAAACCCTTACATAAGTAATAAAGGGCACAGATGGCATCAGACATTTAAAAAAAAAAAGCGATCACAGGTGTGTGCAAATTATAATTATGCCACAATTAGAAGTAATTCAGTCACATTTTTTAAACAAAAGAAGAACTATGAGAGTAAATAATTTGGCAGCAATTTTTTTAAAGTTTGAAAGTATTTCTCTTCAAAAATACATACAAATATTTTGTTAAAGTCTTAGTTTTAATCGAGAGATAAGGAAGAGAAGCACAAGGGAGTCTTAAAGATTAAACCTAGGTTAAATTTTTTAAAATTGCTACATAGACAGCAATTTTTTTGACTTAAAGATAGAAGAAGGTCATAAGTCTGGAGAAATTAATGTCTCCAATATCCAAATGAAGGACATTTTCAATTCTTAGTAAGACAAAGAATGAATATTTTTACTTATTTCACAAGCAACAAAATCCACGAAGCTTTTATCATATAAGTTAAAAAAAATAAGTCCTCTCAGGATTATAATATTAACTATGGTGAAAAATATGTATGATTTTACTCTCCATTATTAAAATATGTGGAACATATATCATGCATTCCTACTTCTTGAAATAGGCACATTCTATCAGAGAACGTTTGTAGATTCAGTCCTATTTTAACCTTTCCAATGCAAATCACTTGGGTCTTTCTAGGAGAAAACTGGAAAGAAATACTTAGAGGTTTAGGAAAGGCCACTACTCACGTCTCTGTAACAAAAAGCTGCTTTCACAGCACACATGAAACTTCTCATTGTGTGCTTGCTCGGGAGGGGCGTGCATTATTTAACATTACAGCGGGTTAGGACCTATGCTGCTAAAGCATGTGCCCGAAAATAATGAAAGGCACCAGAAAATAGGTTCACACTAAGCAGAACTGAATCCTAGTACTTAAGAAATCATTTTAAGAATCTGGACAAACAATGCTTCTCCTTACGTATTCTAGTCTAAAAATAAATAAATAAACAAAACCGTTAACAATTTATTCACAAGGAATAAAACCACAGTATTCCGATTGAAGCCAAAGAAACAAACTAATAATTTTTAAAATGCTTCATTCTGAATCTAGGTCTGCTCCTTAAAGCAGTGACATTGAATCTATCTTAAGACAGAAACATCATTTTACCTTTTGGTTCAGAAATCCGCTTATTAACATTCAATATTTAGCTTAAAATAAATAGCCTTTCTACTTGCTTTCCTATCCTCCCAAAATAAGGAATAACGACAGGGTGGGGCACACTGGTAGAGAAAGCTGTCAGAAAAATCACATCCAGTGTTTCAGGAAGCAAACCTAAGGTCCAACCCGAGGATTTTTTTTTTTTTTTTCCTCTTGTGTAAAGCTACCATTGAACTCCACCCAGATTTGAGCCTACTTTAGCAGCAGGAAAAAAATGTCAAAAAAAAAAAAAAAAAAAAAAACCCAAAAAACCCCCCAAACAAAAACAAATCATCTTCTGCATATTTGCTGAACATCAATGGCATTCAGAATTCAGAGGGTCAGAGTCATGCATTATGAATGAATGGGTTTCCAATGGTAACTGGGAACCGAAGCCCTCAACCCCAGGGTTCTCCGACGGAGGGCCGGGTGGGGGAAGGGTCGAATCGCACATTTTCCTCCACCCTGGGGTATGGAGGAAGGAATCCTGTAACTAAAATATTTCATCCCCATCTTCCCATCCAACGGAGAAATGCTAGGGATTGGGGGGAATCTTCTATTTAAAATAAGCTGAATACACATTAAAATGGAAGACAAGTAAAAATAAAAATCTAGTCAGATCACACTAGGAACTCGAGAAGAAAATCTTGCACGACTTTCTCCCTGTTCTCAATTTGGTGCCTTTGTTTAAGCAAAGAGTGGTCTCCCTCTGTCTGATAGTTACAGAGCATGCAGCATCGCCGAGAGAGAAGGGCGGAGAAAAAAAAAAGAAGGGAAAGAAAGAAAAAGAAAAGGATGGGGAGGGAAAAAAAAAAAAAACAAAACAGGATAGAGAGAGCCGGAGAAATCAGTTATCCACCTGGCAATATACTCAGCAATCGGAACATTTAGGACCTACCCATTTCTGCAGACATACTAATCAACGAGGCAAAGAATTAAATCCTCCCAAAGCCTGTCGCGGCAGCTCCGCAGCCATCCACAAGAACAATGCACATTCTGCTAACCTCCCAAGTTTGGAAGCACCATGCAAAGAGACTGGTTAAAATTCCCTACCATGCAGTGCAGCCATCATCAGAAGCCCGGCATATCTTCTGCTCTATGGAGTGATGTGCCAGCTGATGAACAGAACAGAGGAGAAGAAAAATGGAGGAAAAGAGAGAAGGCTCAGGGAAGTCGGCAGGAATGTTTCTGGGTCATTAACAAGTGGGAGACCCCTTTCGGTCTTGAAACCAATCAATCTTTATCTTACAGGACATCTTTTTCTCACTCAGCGTCTGTTGAAAAGACTGCAGCAAACCAAGCAAGGGATTGTGGGATAGGGATGCAGCAGCGAGCTGCAGTGAGATTCGCGGGTGGTTTGCTTTCCCCTCTGAGTCAGCAGTCAGCTGTTTCCACGCTCTCGCGCCGGGCCGCCCAGGTCCATCGCCGAGCATGGAGCTGCACACTAACCCCGGGAGAAGCACCCCCGCACGTTTGCCGGCGCCACGCAGCAAGGACAGGCACCCGAGTTGCAAATCAAAGAGGGGGTGCCGATGAGCAAAAAGGGGGATGCAGCGAGAACGCATTCTAGAAGGAAAACCAGGTAAATGAGAACCTCAGTTCCAATTTAGAGGTGTGTTTTGTGAGTGTGTGCGAACACACACTTACTTCCCTGAGTTAGGAGAAACGCATCATCTGTTTCCTCCGGCTTTATGTAGCTTGAAACACAAATGGAAATGGATAGAAATGCAAAACAGCCCAGTTCAACAAGCATCTACTATCTTTTCCCCTCTTGGTATGTACCCAGAAACGGGTCTATAAAATACAGTTCCCCAACATGGAATAATGCAAATGACATTCTTCTGCTTTTTGTGGTTCTAATTATTTGACAAAAATCAAGCGGTACATTAATTTGCTTCAGGGGGTAAACAGAACCAGTTGTTTTGCTGTTGATGGGAAGGTTTTTCAGTTAAGCGTTCAGAAACTTGACAAACCTTACATACACACATAACTTGCTTTCCTAGCAGGTGACTGAACTTATTTTTTAAAAGGTTTTACTAAAATAAAAATGATAAAGTAGCCATGTAAAAACAATTAGATCCTCATATTACAAATAATACTTTAGAATTTAAAAAGCTTACATATCAGAATGGAACTTAACAATAGTTCCCTTTTCTAGAGCAATGGAGGCAGAGAACCATATTGTATTCTATACGTTGTTTAGTTACTAGCTTAAAAGTGGACACTCAACATTTTATCTAATAATAAAATCACTGGGGCACCTAGGTGGCTCAGTTTATTAAACAGCTGCCTTTGGCTCAGGTCATGATCCCAGGGTTCTAGGATCGCGCCTGGTGTAGGGCTCCCTGCTCAGCGGAGAGTCTGCTTCTTCCTCTCCCTCTGGCCCTCCCCCTGTTTGTGCTCTCTCTCTCAAGTAAATAAAATCTTTAAAAAATAATAATAATAAAATTGTTAATTCTCATATTTGATTACATTAATATTCATCACATTCTTTCCATGCAGTCGGGCACGGCATTGAGCCCTGTGATGGGGCAGTCAGCTCTGCAGAGCAGTTACAGTTTCCCTCCGGGGAGCAGGTCATAGAGAATCCAGTGAAATCGACAGACCCAGGACATGCCAATTTTGCCATGCTATTTCAGATGGTACCCAGTTCTCAAAAGCCTGGGTTAACACCCTGTTTTAAGTTATGTTCTGTGGGACGCCTGGGTGGCTCAATCAGTTAAGAGTGACTCTTGATTTCCGCTCAGGTCATGATCTCAGGGCTGTGGGTTCGAGCCCCATATCAGGGCTCCCCTCTGAGTGGGGAGTCAGCTTGAGATTCTTTCCCTCTGCCCTTCCCCTCACTGATGCGTGAGCTTTCTCTCAAATAAATAAATCTTTAAAAAAGGAAGTTTTGTTTTGTTTTTTGATAACTTTACTGGGATATAATTCACATACATACAATTAACCATTTAAATTGTACAAGTCAATAGCTTTTAGTATATTGACAGACGCAAGCAACCATCACCACAGCCAGTTTTAGAACATTTTTAACATCTCAAAAGAACTCTATGCCCTTTAGCTATCACCTCTACCTTCCCACCGTCCCACAGTCTTAAGCAACCATGAATCTTCTCTCTGTCTCTAAGTCCCCTCTATAGATTCTGGACATGAATTTAGAATCCTATAGTGGTCTTGGGTGTCTGGCCTTTTTCACTTAGCATAATGTTTTCAATGTTCATCCATATTGTAGCTATCAGGATTTCGTTCCTTTTTATGGTTGAAAAATATTCCATTGTACAGATTTAGCCTGTTTTGTTTATCCATCTATCAGCTGATGGTCACTTGGGTTGTTTCCGCTTTTTTGGTTATTGTGCATAATGCTGCTATAAATATTCCTGTACAGGTGTCGGGTGGACATATGTTCTGTTGTAAAAGTTTACAATTTAAGTAGCACTGACTCCTAAAACTCCAAGCAGGCTACCCCTGCTCCATTTTACCATCCTTGTCCTAAGACAGTCCAGCACAAAGGAGCCTGACCTGCATGATGGGAATGTCCCTCTTCTTTCCACTTGTGCTGCCGCTGGCCCTTTCTGAAGCCAAACTCATTGAATGCTGACCTCTCCCCCAGAACATCCTCTTGGCCTCTCTCCTCCTCTCTTTCCATTCAACCCAAACTCTGGGGCACACACCTGGAGAGCGTCTCTCTTCTGAGAAGATAGCGGGAAAGCGGAAGAGATCCTTGGTCTTGTGGCTGGGCTTGTATTCACAAAAGGTTCACTTACTCATGTGGTCATTCATTCCAATGAATATTTATTTATTTATTTATTTATTTATTTATTTATTTTAAAGATTTTATTTATTTATTTGACAGACAGAGATCACAAGTAGGCAGAGAGACAGGCAGAGAGAGAGAGGAGGAAGCAGGCTCCTCGCCGAGCAGGGAGCCCGATGTGGGGCTCGATCCCAGGACCCTGGGATCATGACCTGAGCTGAAGGCAGAGGCTTAACCCACTGAGCCACCCAGGCGCCCCCAATGAATATTTATTAAACGTCCAGTGTGTGCCAGGCGCTGAGCAGTCATTGAGCATCTCAGCCCTCAAGAAGGTGGATATCTGGTGCGGAAGGCTGATCAGCAAGCAGGCAATTGCTACGCGGAGTGGTGAGCGCTTTGATAGGAAGAAGTGGAGGCTCTGGAAGCCCACAGGAGGGACACCCTGGGGCAGGGAGGTGTGGGGTACATTTCAGGCATAGAGCACAGACAGGCAAACACTTGGAGGCAAGAGATGGCTTGCTGGACTTGACAGCAATAGTTCAGTGTGGCTAGAGCCTTAGGTGAAGGTAGAATAAATGGTGGTCAAATGTGTTTCTGATCTTTTACCCGGAACTGGGAATATCTCTTTCTCGGAAACAGCGTTATCTAGGACAGTTGGGTTCCAAATACCTTCAGCACTATGGCTTCACTACTGTATGGGTAAATGGGTTTGGAGGGCTCAGTCTGCAACCTAACAAATATAACATTGTTTACTATAGGAAGATGCAGCCTCATTTTTAGTGCATGTCTTGGCAAAGGACTGTAACTATTTATAAACTGGGCCTTGGGTTACCACGGGCTGTGTCAGCAGACCACAGCATCTTCTCCTTGGCACTCCCTGGCAACAGGTGGATGTTGGTGGTCGTGGCTGTTGGGATACCACGGCTCTCAGGTTCTTTCTGAGATGGAGCTTGCTTAACTGAGGCCTCACACAGCTAGACTGGAAGGCTGCAAGGGCAGAGAAGCGTCCCAGATCCTTGGGATGGAAGCTGCCACACACCTCCCTTACTTCTTGGAGCTGTCTTGCCCCTCCCCACTGTTTCCCTCCCATTGAACAGATATTAGTGAGTTAACTGTCATCAGCCACTTTGACCGTGATGTACACTCAGGAAGTACACAGAGAGTGAATATGAAACGAACAGAACATGTGTCAACTAAATTGGGCTTGGCAAGATTCTGGGAGACAGAGATCCAAAATGTACTGACCATGTATTATGGGCCAGGTTCCACCCAAAGCCCTTTATATACAGCCTACCTACCCCTGATCAAGGAATTTTTTTCTAGAAAGTAAACTCCTTAGGATGGCATACAAGGTCATTTAGGATCTGGACTCTGCCCTCCCCAGTCATACTCCAGCTCCAAGACATGCATGCCACCACGCTTTCTTTAGTAGTGGCTCTCAACCAGAAAATGATACCTCCCTTTCACGAGGTGGTAGGGTACGCATTTGGAAATGTGAAGGGGCATTCTGCGTTGTCATGTTGATTGTGGGCTCAGGGAGTGGGCTGGTACTCCCAACATTTAGTAACTGGGGCAGGGATGCCAAACATCTTCCAATACATGGGAGAGCCTCATACAAGTACATTTGTGCCCTCCAATTACCAATAGCCCTCCCTTTAAGAAATGCTAATCTCTTGGGGCGCCTAGGTGGCTCAGTCATTGGGCGTCTGCCTTTGGCTCAGGTCATGATCCCAGGGTCCTCGGATCGAGTCCCGAGTTGGGACTCCTACTGGGTTGGAGGCCTGCTTCTCCCTCTCCCACTCCCCCTGCTTGGGTTCCCTCTCTCGCTGCGTCTCTCTCTGTCAAATAAATAAATAAAATCTTAAAAAAGAAACGCTAGTACTGGGAATGCTCTTATCCTTTCCTGACTCCTTTCCCTGTTTAACGCCACTGAATTCTTCAGAACTCAGCAAAGACACCATTCACTTTAAGAAAAAATTCCCTGACTCCTTCTCCAATTCCAAATCCTCCCACCCCCAGTCTAGACTGGGATGACAATGGCCAGCAATTGACAGTCTTACGTGCTCCATAGCATTCTCTGCTAAACACTATTGATGGCTTCATATTTCACCCCTAACTCCCCAGCCCCTAGTGTAGTGCTCGTCACACAGTACGTGCCCAGTAAATAGATATAGAACGATAAAAGTCCTAGAAACAAATGAGTAACATAATATGTTACAAAGGTAAAATTCATCTCCGAACTGGGAAATAGTTGGAGCATTAGGGAGAAGCAGTTCTTCATATCTGACTGGTGGTTTATAATTTATTTTTAAAAAATATTTATTTATTTATTTTAGAGAGAGACAAAGAGTGCGAGCAGGGGGAGGGGCAGAGGGAGAGGAAGACAGAGAAAGAATCCCTAAGCAGATACCTGCTAGGCGTGGAGCCTGATGCAGGATCTGATCCCAGGACCAGGAGAGATCATGACCTGAGCTGAAATCAAAAGTTCGGTGATCAACTGACTAAGCCACCCA